CTTCCTTTCTTTTGATTGAGGATTTACAAATATATCATATTATTAGATTACACAACAATCTCGTGTCCAATGACTTTTTATACCTTTTGATGATAAAAATTTCCTTCACATTTTGAAGGAATATTTGGAGAACCACAGTGTTCTTAATTTAACCACAATGATGATTATTACAATTTTCTTTTTTCTCATGCCCATATTCATTTGTACAACCACAATAATCACTGTCATAGTTCAGACGTATCATGTACTGCTACCACATTTACATAAGAGAATGGAGAAAATCAATTGGGCTAAATACATGACTTCTCATAAAAAATACAATTAGTTTTTCATAGTCATCATTATCGTGCATTAGAAGTTAATCCAACATCTTATCCATATAAAGTCGTCTTAGGTCATAAATTGATGGGACATGAACCCAACGTATTATTATCGTGGTGCATCAAAATTTAAATTGATGTCTTACCTTCTTGGTGCGATACAACTTGAATCTACCGTCTTACCCTCAAACATTTTTCATTATGGTGCATCCATAATTTAACCTGATGTCTTATCCTTTTGGTGCGATGGAACTTGAATCTATAATCTTACCCTCAATCAATTATATAGTAGGTCAAGTGCAATGGACTCATCTCAGAGCCTCTTTGCTCTCAACAAATATCAATTGAATCCTTATTTCCATTTATATAATTTCCTGCACCACCTCAAGTCCTCAACGATACAATTAGTGCAACTAAATTTGGAAATTTTAATCTTTAAAAAGAGAATTTATTTATTCAAATATATGTACAAACAAAATTAGTCAAGTCATCTCACATTATTCGGAGGAACCGAATATTCATATTACCACTTCTCCAATACTTAGTACAACCGACAAATCATAATTAAATGTAAGCAATACTTTCTAAAGATTACATATGATTAGTTGATTTAATCAACTCAAATTCTGGATTATAGAAGCATGAAGATAAATAATTTGGATGCAACTTGGAACAAGCCAACTTTGTCGTTGAGTGTATCAACTTTATCGTCTCTTCCTTTCTTTCTTTAATAGAAATTTTGGGAAGGGATAAGTATACAAACTCTGCTAGCTATATTGCTATAAAGCATCATAATATTAATATAGAGACGCGTGCTGATAACTTGTTATAAAATCAAGCTTAAAGCAATATAAGTATAACGAGAAGAAGACAAGGGAAGCAGATGTAGGAGAAGACTTTTCTTCTTATTCAAGTGTGTATTCCAAATGGTGAGTGATATCTCTATTTATAGTGTTGAGCTATCAAGCATCATAATATTAATATAGAGACTCGTGCCGATAACGTGTTATAGAATCAAGCTTAAAGCAATATAAGTATAAAAAGAAGAAGACAAGGGAAGTAGATGTAGAAGAAGACTTTTCTTCTTATTCAAGTGTGTATTCCAAATGGTGAGTGATATCTCTATTTATCTTCAAGATTAAAAAATCTATAGGATGTACTCTTTGAAGCATAACCAAGAAAAGCACAAGTAGTAACTTTCTTACCCAACTTTGTAATCTTGGGATCCATTAGCCTCACAAAGGCTAGACAACCCCAAGCTCTTAGATATCCCAAACTTGGCTTGTGACCTTACCACAATTTAAACGTGTCAATTTAGACTTTTTATGAGGCACACGATTCAACACACAACACACAGTCAAAATAGCTTCACCCCATAAATTTAAAGGTGCATGTGACTCAATAAGCATGGCATTAGTCAATTCAACCAAAATTCTATTTTTCCTTTCCGGTACTCCATTAGATGAAGGAGAATAAGGAGGATTAATTTTATGAATTATTCCCAATGATCTAACAAAAGAATTAAACTCATTTGACTCATATTCACGGCCACTATCACTTCTTGGGATGGCGATGGTGCGGGTTTGTTGCGGGTTCGGAGCATACTCGCATAAACCCGCAATGACTTTACTCCGCCCCACATAGCACAAATTTATTTATTTTTTTCGCCCCACATATACCCGCTCCGCATATAACTTCCCCGCAAAACTTCAACATAACAGTACGTGTGCTTGATTTTGACACTTAACTTAAGTAAAACAATGTTGTAATTTATTAAGGTTTTCAAACAGTTTAGTTACTCATTTAAGAATCTGTTACATTACTTTCTAACACCATGATAATGAAGGTAAATAATAAAATATATAGCCTAGTCTGTATACAAATTAATTAGAATCAGAATTCATCACAAGTGATGCATCATTTTACTTGATCAAATATTGTATAAATACTAGAGACAAAAGATAGTCATAATAAACTAAGAAATTCAATGTCAATTGTCAACTGATTTGCATCTGCTATTCGCCCAATTTAGTTTAACTTCAAAGGAAAAAGAAACCTAACCCGTGCCCGCCCTGCCCCACATGTTTTACTAAAAAATATTTTGTAACCCCCCCCCCCCCACCCTTCGTCCACCACCACCCACAACCTCACACACACCCCGCAAACACTATAATCCGCCCCGCTTTGCAACCGCCCCTCTCCATTGCCATCCCTAATGACTTCTAATTTTTTTTATTTTTCTTCCAAATTGATTTTCAACTTCATGGAGATAAGTTTTAAAATTTTCAAAAGCATCACTTTTATTTTTCATCAAGTAAACATACGTAAACTTAGAAAAATAAAATATCTATTACCTCCACGAGTTAAAATTCCACCAAGTTCACAAATATCAGTATGAACTAATTCTAACAAATCAGTGTTTCTTTGAACTTGAAAATGAGGTCTTTTAGTGATTTTGGATTTACTACAAGCCTCACACTTTTCAAAATTCTTCTTCACCATTGTGATTAATCCTAAACTACTCATGATTCTAGCATAACGATCATTAATATGACACACATGAGCATGCCAAAAATTGGTAAAAGAAAGCATATAAACAGAAGTAGTAGTTTTATGTATTTCAACATTCAGTTTGAACACCCCATCACAAGCATACCCCTTTCCCACAAAAATATCCTTTTTCACAATTACATATTGATCAGATTCAATAATTTGTTTAAAGCCTGCTTTGTTAAGAAGAAAACTAGACATCAATTTTTTTCTCATGGAAGGAGTATAAAGTACATCTTTCAAAGTTAATACCCTTTCAGAAGTAAAACACAATTCGGCATCTCCCGTTCCAAGCACTTAAGTTGTGTGAGAACCACCAAGCATGATGGTTTTGGACTCCTCAAAATGAGTATGTTTTTTAAACCAGTCTTTGTCATAACAGACATGAAGGTTTGCACCATAATCAGCCCACCATCCATCAAAAACTCTCAACCATGTTTATGTCAGTAATCACCGCCACAAAAGGTTCTTTGGTAATGTTTGCCTGAGGATTAGGACCACGTTTCTAGAATCTGCAAAATCAAACAATATGCCCACTCTTGCCACAAACAAAGCACGGTCCCTTATCTTAAACTTGTTGATTTTGTGCTTGGTTATTTTCAACATTATTTTTCTTGGCAGGTGTACCATTATTTTTCTTGAATTTTTTCTTCTTAGGACTCAAAGAAGTATTTGTGTGAGTTTCAGGAGTAGCATTATTTGAAGTAATTAAATTTACCTTCATTGTGATGTTGCTCTCTTCTGTTTGTAAAAGTGCATCTTGGCCCTTGCCTCTTCTTCCATGCGGATTTTCATTATCAAGGTTTAAAGAGAGGTTTCCTTTTGTTTGTGGCACATAGTTTTTTGAAATTTCTTCCAAGAAGGTGGAAGTTATCTACTATACCATAAACAATAAGGTTGTCTCCAGTTTTTACCTTCTCGGATCTAAGCTCTCCAAAAATTATTATAAAATCTTGAGCTTGGTCTACCACTAATTTGTTTTCCACCATTTGGAAACGAAAAAATCTACTAGCCACATATTTTTTCACTCCAGCCTCTTCGGTATCATACTTACTCTGCAATGCTTTCCAAATTTTCTGTGCACTAGAGTAAGTTCTATCATAATAATCATAAAAATTATCAGACAAACAATTAAAAATATAATATCAACACTTATAGGAATCACCATCGTACTTTTCCACTTTCTCTAGATGAGAAATAATTTCATCATCATTCATAGAGGTGATGTTAACTTTATTAGGATTCTTCTCTGTTAACACAAAAGAAACATTGAGAAGACTTAAGTAGAAAAGTACTTTACCCTTCCATCTCTTGAAATGGTTACCAATGAACAGAAATGGCTTGTTAAGATCTCCCATCTTGACATCCGCGGTTTTTTCAATTGTAGCCATTTTGAATCTCCTTAAAATTGTTTGTGAAAAATTACAAAATAACAAAATTACAAGATTACAATTAAAAGAAAATGAAGAAATAATAACCTCTTCAGGCTGAGGCGCGGATATCTCACTCTCTTTAAGGAGATTCAAGCACAGTGCAACAAATGTTTTTCACCGGTCCAGCAGTAGTCCTTCTTGACTTGTCCCCTCCAGGATACAACAGTCTAATCACAAAAGTGTAACTCAACAACTCTGGACAAGAGTTAAGTCCAAAGCTCCACAAAAAGAACACCTCCCTTCAACTAATAAAAACTCTCATTTTTTACTAACTTTTTTCACTCTATATTTTTCTAGTGTCTTAAGCCAAATGAAGACCACCACTAGTTATAGTAGAAGAAGTCTTCCTAGCAATGAATAGAAAGATAATGGGGTAGTAAATAGTGAAGATAAATGGCCTAGAGGTTACATATGTTACATAGGTTACAAAGAATAATGGAGGAATAAAGAGTGAGATAATGGAGATTGAATGGGGGAGAAGTGGGGGACACTAACGGCTAAAACATGTTACCAATGCTGCCAGAAAAGGAGCAGTAACATATATGCACTAACTCTAGGAGTAATATGCAGGAATCAATATTATCATTAACATTAGCACATGATGAGAAGTCAACCAACGGCAACATTTTAGAATATTAAAATGTCACTCACACTAACACCAGAGAAAAGTACAATTTAGGAAATTACTATTGTTGGGATGGAGGATGACTTCAACGCCATACTTGAACACCTTACTGCCCAAGCAGACGATTTAGTTGTCGTACCAATTTTTGGTATGTGCAGTATAGGTAAGACAACTCTTGCCAAAAAAGTTTATGATGATTCATATTCGTTCTCTATTTGATAAACATGCATGCGTTACTATCTTCGAATGATACAATGAGAGACAAATGCTTCTTGAAGTTGTCTCTACAATTACTGGAAGAAATCAAGAAATGGGCAATGATCAACTAATGAAGATTGTCTAAAGAATACTGAGGCATGGGACCATATGCAAAGAATATTTCCAAATGATGACAATAGAAGCCGAATTCTATTAACCACTTGGCTCTTGTATGTTGTTGATTATGTCAGTTGTCCTGATTTTCCATAGAAAGTCTTTTATAAGTCTTGATGACAGTTTGAAGTTCAACAAAAAATCATTCAAAAAAATATTGTTTCCTCCTCTACTTGTAGAACTAGGGAAGCATATTGTACTACAATGTCGAGGATTACCTCTCTCGATTGTTGTTGTTGCAAGACTTCTTGGTCAAATGGACCCAGCACATGATAATTGGAAGAATGTTGAGGAAAATCTTAACTGATTGTTTGGTACTGTATCCAAACAGTTTCAATCAATTCTTTCTTTGGAGGTTTTCCTAAAGATAAAGATATTAATGTTTCCAAGTTGATTAGAAACAATAAAAGTTTAGAAGTGGTGGCACTGAGGGAATAAAATCTTGGCTGCAACTAATTTGGCAGCCATATTTGTTGAAATTTAATTGCAACAAATGTGAAAGTTGGCAAGCCACAAATGTGAAAGTTGGTAGCCACATTTGTGGAATAGTCAAAGTTTGGTAGAGTTTTGGTAGAGTTTGACGGCCAAATTTTGTGGAATTTGGCTACCACATTTATGTCACTAATGATGTAATGAAGAGGCAAAACTCTATAAATAGAGTAGTAAAATAACACTTTAAGACACATAAAAAAAATAGAGAAGCAATACAGAGTAGAGAGAGTAATCCACAAACTACTTCTTAGATTGTGAGAAAATAGTGTGAAAGTAATATAATTGTGAGTTGTAAGAAATGAAAGAGTGTTGAGTAGTAGTCTTTTGACACTACCAAGTTTTTCATCAATATTATTGTATTACTTCTTCCAGTATCATATTTACACCATTTTAATATTTGGTGTTGTTGTTACTCTCTTCCTGTTGCTATTAAGTTTGGACATTATCCTGGGTGTGATTATCATTTTGTCCAACAACGTGGTATTAGATCCATGGAAAATAATAGTCTGTTGTCCTTTCAATACCCTCGTCTCACAAGAGAAAATTATGAAAAAATGGTATCTACGAATGAAAGCCATTCTTCGCTCTTAAGATGTTTGGGACATTGTAGACAAAGGGTATACAAAGCCCGCTAATGAGGAAAATTTGCCCTCAAATGAAAATGAGGTCTTGTTAAAGACAACAAAGAAAGATCAACATGCCCTCAATCTTATCCATCAATGTTTGGATGATGGCATGTTTGATAAGTTGGTTGATGCAACCACCTCAAAAGAAGCTTGGGAGATTTTACAAAATTCTCTCCAAGGAGTTGATAAAGTAAAGAAGATAAAACTTCAAACTCTAAGGGTTAGCTTTGAAGTTTTAAAAATGAATGAATCTAAATCGATTTTGGATTTCTCTTCAAGATTTATGGTTGTGGTAAATCAACTAAAAAGATACAGGGAGGAAGTAGATGATGTGCGTGCGGTAGAAAAGATCCTTCGTTCTTTAACACCTAAATTTGATTATGTGGTATGTGCTATTGAGTAGTCTAAAGATTTAGACTCTATGACGGTAGAACAATTGGAAGGTTCTTTACTAGCCCTCAAAGAGAAAATGAAAAGGAGAAAATAAGAGCCACCAGAGCAACTTCATAAAACCCATGCATCCTTCAAATGATTTAAAGGTGAGAAAATCTACAAAGGAAATGGACAATGGCGAGGCCGTGGAGGTCGTGGAGGCCGTGGAAGAGGAACAAGTTATACCAATAAATTGAACAATGAAGATAAGAGTCACCAGTCATTGAGAGGTCGTGGTCGTGGTCAACGAGGAGGTAGAGGACGTGGAGCATATCAAGGTTCAAATGAAATGCGGTATGAAAAATCTAAAATTGATTGTTATAACTGTCATAAAATTGGACATTACTCTTGGGAATGTCGTAGGAATGTTGAAGAGACAGTTAATCTTGTTGACAACAACAAAGACGAAGATGAGTCAACGTTGTTATTAGCACTCAAAGAAGAAAATACAAATGATTGTAATTTATGGTATCTTAACAATGGAGCAAGCAATCATATGTGTGGCCACAAAGATAACTTTGTGGAGATAACGAAGACGGTGAAAGGTAATGTGTCTTTTGGAGATACCTCAAAAATCCAAATTGAAGGGATAGGTACGATTTTGATATCTTGTAAAGATGTGGCCATAAATTGATTAACAATGTTTATTATGTCCCAAAATTGAAAAGTAATATTTTGATTTTGGGTCAACTTCTTGAAAAAGAATACGATATTCATATGAATAATATGCATCCTTGTCTTAGAGATTCAAGTAAAAACTTGATTGCTAAAGTTCATATGACAAAAAATAGGTTGTTCCCTTTGAATCTTAAAACCATCTATGCAAAGTGTTTGAAGGATAATGTGCAAGATGACTCATGGTGTTGGCATATGCGATTTGGGCACTTGAGCTTTGATCACTCAAATCAATGGGAGACAAGAACATGGTTGATGGGATTCCGTTAATCACCCATCCAAATCAGTTGTGTGAAGCTTGTCTACTTGGAAAACATGCAATGAGGAGTTTTCCAAAGGAGACTAAATCAAGAAAAAGTAAGCCACTTCAACTTGTACACACCGATGTGTGTGGTCCAATTGATCCACCTTCTTTTGGTAAAAGAAAATACTTCTTGCTCTTTTTTGAAGATTTTAGTAGAAAGACTTGGTATACTTCTTGAAGCAAAGATCTGAAGTTTTTGTTGCCTTTAAAAATTTCAATGCACTTGTATAAAAAGAAAGTGGCTATGAAATATAAGCATTAAGGTCCGATAGAGGAGGCGAATTCACTTCAAAAGAATTTAATGACTTTTGTCAATCTCATGGAATTTGTCACCCTATAACGATACCTTACTCTCTCCAACAAAGTGGAGGTGCAGAATGAAAGAATAGAACAATTCTTAATATGGCTAGATGTATGTTGCAAGCTAAACATCTACCGAAAGAATATTGGGCCGAGGCTGTTTCTTGTGCAGTTTATTTGAGCAACAAGTCTCCAACAAAAAATGTATGAGATCAAACATCTCAAGAAGAATGGAGAGGAAGAAATCCAAATGTCAAGAACTTGAGAATCTTTGGGAGCATAGAATATGATCATGTTCCACATCAAGGGAGAGATAAACTTGATGATCGGAGTGTCAAGTATGTGTTTGTTGGCTATGACGCGAGTTCAAAAGGCTACAAATTGTACAATCCAAGCAATAACAAGGTGGTGGTGAGTCGTGATGTTGAATTTGATGAAGAAGAATCATGGAATTGGGAGACTCCGGAAGAAAGAACATCTGATTTTCTTCCATACTTTGGAGATGAAGAAGAACAGGAGGCCGTGGCACCTGCACATGATGCAGCCCCACCTCCTTCACCAGCAAATGTTGCATCTCCATCTTCTCTAGAGAGTTCAAGTGAAAGACCACATAGGATGAGGAGCATTCAAGAACTCTATGATGACATAGAAGAAATTATAATTTTGATTTTTTGTGTTGTCTCTTTCGTTGATAATGAACCAATGAGTTTTGATGAAGTTGTTACTAACAAAAGTTTGAGACAAGCCGTGGAGGAGGAGATCCAGTCAATAGAGAAGAACAACACTTGGGAGTTAACGACTCTTCCCAAGGATCAGTGAGCAATTGGACTAAAATGGATATACAAGGTGAAGAAAAACTCCCACGGAGAGGCAGAGAGATACAAAGCAAGACTTGTGGCTAAAGGCTACAAACAAAGGCATGGCATCGACTATGAGGAAGTCTATGCGCATGTTGCCCGCATGGAAACAATCTGTTTATTGATCTCTTTAGCGGCCCAAATGAAGTGGAAAACCCATCAACTAGATGTCAAATCGACATTCTTAAATGGATATCTTGAAGAAGAAGTCTATGTTTAGCAACCATTGTGTTTTGTGGTTAAAAATCATGAAGCTAAGGTGTTGAGGTTGAATAAAGCCTTATATGGGTTGAAGCAAGCTCTACAAGCTTGGAATAGTCACATTGACAAATACTTTCAAGACAATGGGTTTACTCGTTGTCTCCATGAATATGCTCTTTACATTAAAATTCATACTAATGGCGATATTCTGCTTGTTTGTCATTATGTTGATGATTTCATTCTAACAGGTAACAACCCAGTTTTATTTGAAACTTTCAAGAATGCTATGTCCTTTGAGTTTGAGATGACAGACATAGGGCCCATGTCATATTAATTACTTGGGCCTAGAAGTGAAGCAAATGGAGGAAGGCATCTTCATATCTCAAGAAAGCTATACAAAGAAGATTTTGAAGAAGTTTAACATGTTTGATTGCAACCCTGTGAATACCCCAAATGGAATGTGGAACAAAATTGTCAAAGTTTGATGATGGATAAAAGGTGGACCCTACTCTATTCAAAAGTCTCGTCGGAAGTCTAAGGTACTTGACATGTACGAGACCATATATACTCTTTGCGGTTGGAGTAGTAAGTTGCTTCATGGAAGCTGCTACCTCCACTCACTTGAAGGTCGCTAAAAGAATTCTTCGCTACCAAAAAGTTACAATCGACCTTGGACTATTTTATTCTTCTTCTAATGATTTTAATTTTGTAGGATACTGTGATAGTGATTATGCAGGAGATGTTGATGATAGAAAAAGCACATCGGGTTTTGTGTTTTTCTTGGGTGATTGTGTTATTTCTTAGAGTTCAAAGAAACAATCAATTGTTACTCTCTCGACTTGTGAAGCTGAATACGTGCCAGAGACATCATGTACTTGTCATGCTATTTGGTTGAGGAGATTGTTGAGGGAACTCAACTTGCCACAAATTGAAGCCACTGTGATTTGTGTTGATAACAAATCTGTGCAAGAAGTTGCAAAGAATCCAGTGTATCATGATCGGAGCAAGAAACATAGACACAAGGTATCACTTCATCCGAGAATGCATTGCCAAGAAAGAGGTAGGGCTCAAGTATGTGAAATCTCATGATCAAGTTTATATCTTTACAAAGCCTCTCAAGTTTGAAGATTTTCAGAGATTGAGATCAAGCCTTGGAGTAAAGAAGAAAAATCAAAATTAAGGGAGAGATTTGTGGGAATAAAATCTTGGCAGCAACTAATTTGGCAGCCACATTTGTTTAAATTTAATTGCCACAAATGTGAAAGTTGGCAAGCCACAAATGTGAAAGTTGGTAGCCACATTTGTGGAAGTTGGTAGTCAAGGTTTGGTAGAGTTTTGGTAGAATTTGGCAGCCAAATTTTATGGAATTTGGCTACCGCATTTATGTCACTAATGATGTAATCAAGAGGTTCAAAAACTCTATAAATAGAGTAGTAATTGAACCCTAGAAGACACACCAAAAAAAAAATAGAGAAGCAATAGAGAGTAGAGAGAGTAATCCACAAACTACTTCTTATTTTGTGAAAAAATAGTGTGAAAGTAATATAATTGCGAGTTGTAAGAAATAAAAGAGTGTTGAGTAGTAGTCTTTTTGACACTATCAAGTTTTCATCAATATTATTGTATTACTTATTCGGGTATCATATTTACCCCATTTTAATATTTGGTGTTGTTGTTACTCTCTTCCTATTGCTATTTAGTTTGGACATTATCCTAGGTGTGATTATCATTTTGTCCAACAGGCATAGGAGTATCTAGAAGAGTTAACTGATAGAAGTCTAATTTTGGCTTGTACACGAAGGACTAATGGAAGGATAAGAATTTGAAAATTCATGATCTTCTTCGCCAACTATGCCTAAGTAAATCCATATATGATCAACGGAGAGTGATCCTTCTATCTACACTTGAAGAGAAACATAATTATCGTATAAGACATAGCAATGGTATAATTCGCACCTTTATTTCAATGCAAGTAGATATTCCAAAACAGATGTTTTACAATTGAAGTTGCTTAAGGTATTGGACGTATTTTCAATTGAATATTATTTCACTTGTGTAATACCTCAGCTTGTACATTTGAGATATGTTTCTGCAAGAATTGAATAACTTTGCTAATATATATATATATATATATATATATATAATCCTCTTGAGGCAGAAAATCATGATATTGAAGAAAAGACTTTGCTTTTCAATAACTTGAACATACTTTATCTTCATTATTCTCCTTTTGCTGCGGAATTCATAAGAAGAACTCTAAATCTAAAAGAGCTAAAGATTTTACAATCCATTGATCCGATCATGATTTTCTCTAGGGATATTTTCCTTAAAAGGTACTTGTATACCATGGGAAGTCATGACTTTACTGGCTAATTTACCCAATCTCGAACGGTTTTATGCATTCGCTGGAACAGATTGGACACTAAATGAAGATGTTGTGTTTCACAAATTTAAATATCTACGAATTGTAGAAGCATATCTGCAAAGGAGGGAAGCAGGTAATGATAATATTTTGATGCTTGTGTAACTAATACTGCATGGGTTGCGTAATCTGGAGGATATTCTCGAGAGTATTGGAGAAATAAATTCTAGCGCGATATATGATAATACAGGCATATCATGTTTTTTTCTACAAGTTTGTAATATCTTGATATATGTTGATAAATAAGAGATTATATGTTATGCAATTCAAAAGGTAAAATCAATATGACAATGGACTAATAACATAACATATATAATTAAAATTACTAACTTCGACTGAATCATAACTGATGAACATTATCTAATGAACACAACACTTAGTACTGACTTTGACTGAATCATAACTCATGAACATTTCATGATGAACACCTGAAATGACAAATGAACCTAGACACTTAATATAATACTTAAGTTTTTAATTTTACTTTCGGCAATTCCATAACACGCACACTAGTAATTGGGAATTATGGAAGAAGTAGATCCACTAACCCTATTAGCAAAAGGTCCACCAACATTGAGTCCATATGAAGAACTTTAGCTAGCACAATTTGGAGGAGTCCAGGCACTTCCCAATGTCTGAAATGGGAATGCATTATTATTCACCATTTGTGCCTCTTTTTTAACCTTTTGCTTTAGAATTTCTAATGCCTTCTTCAAGTGTTGAAGTTGGAATAAGTTAAGTTCTTCGATAGGAGATTCCCACCATAGACCATCAACTCTATTCCTAATTTCTCGAAGGGATTCTCCGCGATTTTTCTCCATCTGGAGAACCCCCTCGAGGTTCATGAGCATGTATTAAGCTCATGATTACCAGCT